CCCCCCCCCCCCCGCCCGCCGCCATACAGGTAGAAAGAGGGGTTGGGGGAACGGGGCTCGTCCCCCTGAAGGGAAGTGTCCGGCCCCGGGGCGGGTGGGCGGTGAGGCGAGGGGCGGTGAGGTGAGGGGACTCCCCCGGCGTGTGGGGGGCCCTGCCCGGCTGCCGGTGTCTCGCAGGTGACGGTGCGGGACGCGCTGAACCAGGCGCTGGATGAGGAGCTGGAGCGGGACGAGCGCGTTTTCCTGCTGGGCGAGGAGGTGGCCCAGTACGACGGCGCTTACAAGGTGCGTTGGTGCCGTTACCGCGCCGGGAAGGGGCCTCAGGCGGGCCCTGACCCCTCTCCCTCCTGCCCTGCAGATCTCCAGGGGGCTCTGGAAGAAGTACGGGGACAAGAGGGTGATCGACACCCCGATATCAGAGGTATGGCCGCCCCCGTCCCCTGCCCTGGCGACCCTTCATCAGCCGCCCCCCCCCGGCGCTTACCCTCGGTTGCCTTCTCTTTCAGATGGGCTTCACAGGAATTGCTGTCGGTGCTGCTATGGTTGGTAAACTCGGATTCCTTCTCAATTAAACATGTAAACTATTTTTATGTAAAAACACCCTAATATATATCTTAATATATTTAATAGGCAGGGTTGAGACCAGTGTGTGAATTCATGACGTTCAACTTCTCCATGCAAGCAATTGATCAGGTTATAAACTCCGCTGCCAAGACCTGTTACATGTCTGCGGGATCAATCGCTGTTCCCATTGTCTTCCGGGGCCCCAACGGGGCATCAGCTGGAGTGGCCGCTCAGCACTCGCAGTGCTTCGCGGCTTGGTACGGGCACTGCCCGGGACTGAAAGTTGTTAGTCCTTGGAGCTCAGAAGATGCCAAAGGTCTGCTGAAAGCGTCAATCCGGGATGACAACCCAGGTGAATACAAGCAGATCATGACAATACCTAGCACTCGATCCTGAAAAGAATGTCTGTTGTCCCCTCCTGCCCTATTTAAAACAAAAAAAATTATCATTATACCCTAAAACACTTGTTTTAGTGCAGCTTTAGGGTACTTACAAGGCACAGAAGTATCGATTCAAATACTTAATTTTTTCCTAACAGACACTTGGCTTGCTAGCAGTAGACTCTAATTTTGTGCTGTTGCCAGCTACATACCGTTAATGCCAGTTTGGTACCAATCAGGAAACTTAGAAGCAGCATTTAGGAATCTACTGTAAAGGGGTTAAAAAGGATGAAGATAACTCAGGAGGAGTTCCTGCATGTGCATTGTCTATGTAACTCGTTTTTACAGATCATGTAATTCCCATGATAAATTCAGAATGTCACCGGTTAAAAACAGGGAAACCTTTATTTCTCACAAACACGCATGCAAAATCTAAGACTCTTCTAAAACTAGCGGTTCTACCATTGTGTACCAAAAGTTAAATGTCTGACCTCATTTAAGACTAATCGTAGACAATTTTTTAAATAATTCAGCATTGAGGTAAAGGCTGTGATTGATTTGTTTGTTTGTTCCTGCAAACATACTCAAGTCCTTGTTGCCTGGATGGCAAGTATCTTGAGCGAGTCTGCTGCAGTACCGTTAATCATCAGGACAGTCCTCTGCCTGCAGATGTACACGTTAATCCAAGTATGTTTTCTTCTAGTTGTGATGCTGGAAAATGAATTACTGTATGGCGTTCCCTTTGAAATGTCTGAACAGGCACAGTCAAAGGATTTCGTTGTTCCAATTGGAAAAGCTAAAATTGAAAGGCAAGGTAAGCTGAGAACACAGTTTGTTTCCTTATTAACTGAACTGATTGGGGACTTTTTTGGGTTTTTTGGCCTTTTTGCTGTTCAGAATACTGCTGTCGTGGGGCACTGAAAAATATTTCAAATCTTAAGTGTTCAAATGTGATTTTATCCTGTAGTATACTTAATTGTTCTGTTGCCCATATAAAGAAAAATCACTTGATTCTCTATATCTTATCTAAAACTAAACCTTTCTAAAAGATTTGTTCCTTAGTATAGAGACATTTGAAAAACTTTTTTCCTCGCCTTAGTATGTAATGTTTGTCAAAAATACAGAAGAGAGCACTGTAATATTTCAGCCCATTTGTACAGAATTTGCCACTGAATTACACAAATGTTTGAAAAGGATAATCTGGAAACTGTATTAAATTTCTCCTCAGTTCCCTGAATTAACGGGTGAAGTTGTGTCTTCACGTAGTCCTTCTGCTACCACTCTTCATGCTATGTATGGGCATAGAATACTTAGCATTTCAAATAAATGTAAGGAACTTAAATTTACAAGAGGATCCCAACATGACCTTGAAAGGAGCCTGAGGTCCAGAGAAAAGCTTTAAATCTTAAGGTGGTTTTTTTTTTTCTTTTTTAACAATATTTAACACTGGTTTCTATTCTAGGAACTCATGTTACATTAGTGTCACACTCAAGACCTGTCGGACACTGTTTGGAAGCAGCTGCTGTGCTTGCCAAAGAAGGTGTAGAGTGCGAGGGGGGTGGGGTCTTTCCCTGGAGTGGGGGGAAAAAAAGCAGAGGGTCTTCTCATCCAGGCTCTGCCAAACTTCAGTGTAATAACTGCAAGCTTCTTGTATTTGTAAATGCCTTAACAGGCAGTGAGCCCAGCACATGCATTTCATGTTTCTGCATTTGACCTTTTCATCACAAAATTAAGGCAGAACCGCTACCGATTTTCAGATTGACGTAGCTGGATGGTCAGCAGCACAATGACAGTAGGCATTAGTGTGGCTGCATCTCGGTACAGCAAGACTCACCCACCTGGGATTCTCCAGGAGCCACCAGAAACTGTTCTGCAGAGTGTCTGCCAGGATAAAAAGTTAGAAATTGGATTAACTTGAAGTCTGGTCTTGGAAGTCAGAGTAGATGAAAGTGCTAAAGGACAAAACTCAGAGTCTCCTTTTGTGTTTTTTTCAGGTTATAAACCTGCGTACCATCCGACCAATGGATATTGATACAGTGGAAGCCAGCGTTGTCAAGACAAACCATCTCGTAACCGTAGAGGGAGGTTGGCCGCAATTTGGAGTAGGAGCCGAAATCTGCGCCAGGATCATGGAAGGTACCGAGTTTTGCAGTATAGACGTTGATCTCATTCCCTAGTCTAATTCCTGACGACTTCTTGATAAAGGCAAAGTTAGGGTTTTATATCTGAGGAGCTTGAGCCTAGCTGTCTTGCTCCAGAGATTTTCACAGGGCGGATCCGGCTCGTATTCTATTGCGAGTAATTCTTATCCCGGGAACTTGACTGTGTGAGAAGCAGGATGGAAACTTTTTGTCTAAACCCTAGTACACGAAGATAAATGAGCAGGAACAGCTCTCTCGGGAATATTAGAGCTACAGGAACAAAACTGCTTAAATAGATTAAGATTCAGAAATTGAATTGAGAGAAAACCGTAGTGCATGGCAACCTGACAACTGTTTTCTGTTTCAGGATCTGCCTTTAACTACTTGGATGCTCCAGCTGTGCGCGTTACCGGTGCAGATGTTCCTATGCCTTATGCAAAAAATCTAGAAGATAACTGCATACCTCAAGTGAAGGATATAATATTTGCAGTGAAGAAAACTTTGAATATCTAAAGTGTAAATACATGTTTTAAAGCCCTGCTTTAAAAAGCATCAACGGTGTGGGGCGAGTTGTATGCATAACCACTAGGGAAAGTTTAGTGACCTCCCAGAATATTTATATGGGTTACCCTCTAAGCCACACTTCCTATAAGCAACAATGTGGTAATGCTTGTTTGTTCAACAGTCCAGGTGGGTTAGTGCTAGTGTATGTGGAGAAATCTGATTCCAGATTCAGAGGGAGGAAAAAAATCCTCTGTTTCTGCTTGCCTTGTAAGTGCCAGGCTAGCTGTATTAAACCGGCTGTAGTGGTGGCTGAGCGAAGGACTGCAGCGAGCCGGAGTCCAGGCCTGCAATGCTGTACCGCTCTCTGGGAGCCCGGGGTCGCAAGGCTGATTAAAAGTGGATGATCCAACGGGAGCGCGTGAAGCCCTGCTTTTCAGTTCAACGGTGAAGTGCAACTGTCCGCACAAAGCGGCTCTGGCAGCCTGCGGTACGGGCTAAGAGATGCTAACGTGTTTAGTTTGAAGAGCACTCCGCTCATGCAGGAAAGCCGCCGCACAAGAGCTTAAATAAAGATCCTGATCCTCCTCAGCCTGTGATGGGAAACACTACCTATCTTTTCTTCGCTAGCTGCTACATACAGCGATAAAAAACACTTGCCCAGATGCTTTGCTTTACGTATTATTGTTTTTAAACTCATCCCATGGTTCTAACGGCACGCTCAAACGATAGTTCTTACTAAGTGATTTTATTCAGTCGCACTGAGCCTGCGTTCGCAGCGGCAGCACGGATCACGTTTGGAGAGCTGGGAAACGGTCGCAGCAGCCTTTAGGCAGATGCCCACGGGGCAGGGTTTAGCAAAGGGGCTACTCCTGACAGGCAGGGAGAGCTCTGCTGGGCTTTGTTCAGCAGCTTCTGGTCCAGAGCGAACGCTGCCCAGAGGAGCCCGTGCAGCGCGGCTTGCTCCGTACCCCAGGCAGGCTGCCTTTCCACGGAGCTGCGGGAGAGGAGATCCTTCCCTCCATAAGGAAGGCAGAAGAGCTTGGGTCCTATTTCAGGAACACCTTTCAGGATATTTCCCTTTAGCAGAAGTGCTGTGAGGTTCTTAGGAAGTCTGGCTCGCAGGTGAAATCCTGGCGGAATATACCCACCACCACGCCGCTGAAGGAATTCATTAACATTTTAATAAAAATGACTGAATATCACAGGTTACATGAAACTTTGTACAGACATTCTCTGCATAGTAACAAACACTGATGTACTTGAATTTAAAAAATGGATTATCTATAATCCTTTAAAGTGCAATTTGTTGAAGGTTTTAAATCAAAAAGGATCTTTCAATAAAGTTTAAGCTGTAGAATTAACTTGAAGTAACTTTGCATTTAACTAAATCACGAATAATATCCCAGTGCCCTCATAACTCCCATTTCAACTGTTTCCTCATTTAAAAACACTTTCCCTTCGAGTTACGGGTAGGATGTCCATTTAAACAAGATTAATGAAACAGCGGTTTTCCTCCACCAGCAAATACGGTGGCAATAAGACTTAATTCTCCAGTTCCCTCACCTGTGCAGGACGCTTTAAGGGTTGGGGGGTGTTGGATTATCTAAAACAAAACTTGCTGATTTAGTGCAGCAAGAATTAAGATGATTTACAACTGCATGAAAAGTGTTGAAAACTGAGCCGACTAAAACTACATTCCTGTAATTTGGAAAAAAGGGGTGGAATAGAGCTAGAAAAAAAATGCATTAATTCACCATGATCATGGTCATTCCTATTTTCAGATTTTTATTCAGCTACGTAGAAGTCGCTGTACCCCTGAAACTGTAGCTAGAGAACAAAGTTCTTGAAACCAAGTAAAGAGTGGAGTACTTATCGCAGCATGGCAACGCAACTCGGACAGGGTAGTGCTGCTGCTCAAGAAAAGCTGAAACGGGGGTAAACAGCGTCGGTCGCCGGTCAGGAGGGTCTTCGTTCCTAGGCAGCACAGGAGGGGGAGAGGGAATTCGATCCCGGTGTGAACCAGTGGCCTCAGCTGATCCTGGGAGCGCTGTAGTCGCAGGTCTGTGTTTTCTTCAGAGTTCCTTTCTGAAAGTTTTGAATGGAGCTGAGTAAGGCTCCTCGGCTTGCACTGACATCGGGCTGCGGGCTCGGCGGCGGTGGCACCTCTGTGCTCAGAGGAGGAGCTGCTGGTGGCAGGGGCGGCGGTGGCGGTGCTGGGGGTATCGACGATGCTCCTGTTGAGTTGAGGAGAGAAGATGTAGTTTGATTATGCCAAGGAGGTTCTGCCGCGGGGGACTGCGGCTGCTTAGCTGGACTTGGTCAGTCCTGCACTAGCCACGTCATTCCTTGAATGCCAGTGGAGTGTGAAGAACAGAATGGATGGAAAATGCCAAAGTGATCAAATCCCTCTATCTGCAGGTGAGTCGTGGCATCTGAGACACCTCTGAAACGATGCCTGAAGTGCCTCAGCACCCGGGGATGCAAAACATGACTCAAATGTGATCTTGCACTGAGGGAAATGGAGGTCACTTAACAGCACCTCCCAACTTCAGCTTCTCTCGTTTGTCCCTGGTGAAGCAGTTTGCTCTTTGGGTCGTGAACAGTAACAAAGACGGGAAGCAAATCTTAGTACCTGTTCTTATTTACATGACTAACTTTACGTTAGGAAGGACCACATTGCTGTAGTATTTGTCATGACTGCTCGGCCAGATTATATTCCATTTTTGAAGTACTAACTGCAGATAGAGTTTTCTGGAGGTGTTTTACACTTCCACAGTAGTGTCAGACTTTCTCCGAACATGTTGTAACAAACGCTTGTTTCACAGGCTGAGTGAATCACAACAACCTGCCACGCACACCGCTTGCCTGCCTCTCACGTTCCCACCAGTCACCTTTGCACGCTGGCCCTTGTTTCCTACCCCGGTGACATCCACCTGACGCTTCTCATCGTGCCTCAGCCTCCGCGTCCTGACGCCCTGGGGAGCCGGAGCCCACGGCGGTGCACGCAGACAGCCAGCCCGGCAGCGAGGGCCTGCGTGGAGGTGCTCCCTGGCAGCTCCGATCCAGGCAGGTGGCCTTGTTTGCCCCAAGCAGCTCTCCCAAACGCCCTGACCTTGTGCAGCTCTGCTGCTGCAGATTGCACCGTCATTTCTACACAAGTATAATGACAGATCCAGGCAGGAGTAAGAGCAAAGGGCTTCAGAGGTGGCCGCTTGCCGTTCCACAAGACATCCACGTGAAGGTGGCATTTGCAGCCCATCACCAGCTATATGGGGAATGATGGGCCTGTCTTGTCTCATCTATTCTGGAATGAGTAGGGGCATAATGATTAATATCTTAGAACTATTCAACAGTGAGTTTTAACTCCATCACCTAGATCATGAGTTATTCCCTAGTAAGACTAGAGAGACAAATGGCAGCTATAGTCTAACACTTGCTTCCAGCAGCTCTAACCTACAAAGACGAATATACTGGTAGGTGGCAAGAACTATGATACTGAAGGACAACAAAGCAAAACAACATGAGGCCAACTGAGAAAGTACGGTTACTGAAGTAGCACTGCTTGCTATGAAGTAAGCAAACAGCAAGCAGTTAAAGGACATGATGCCACACGGACTCGAGAGGTATTCGATGAAGGATAAAGCTCAGCTACAGAAAACAAAAAGCAGGCAAAGTTCTCTGTGCTCCACTTCTCAATTCCTCACTAACACGTGTTCTCAGACTCACAACTAATAGTAAAAAAGTAACTGCTGTAATTCAAAAGAGCAGTTATACTAGATGAAAGTCATAACTCAAAGCTCCCTCATTTTCTATTTGTACCAGTCTTTGAAGAGAGACTTTTCCCATATGGGAGCAAGCTCAAAAGGCAGAGTATTCACACGAAGCATCCAATTTTGCCAGTGTACATTAATACATGCTGCGATTGTAGCACTTCCAACTCTTCAGCAGAAATTCTCACTGGCGTGAAAACCTTCTGTGACAACAAAACATGGAAGGACGTATTGGGCTCATCTTCACTCTCCTCCCTTCCAGAGGAAATACTCAAGTCCTAGTAGAAATATCAGGGATCAACCGAAACAATTTAACATGCCTGTTGCATGCGGATCAGCTGCTCTCTTAAGTAACCAAAACATTACACAATGTTAGCACAACCTGAAATAAACTGCATATTGATGCCTTGGGGCCATCTGACTTATCCAAACCTACTTTTTACACTAGCCAAAGATGTAAGTCAATTTATTATTAGAAATACTGGAAAACCATCCCCTAGGTTAGAGTCCTCCTGTTTCTCATGTGTGTACAGACTGCCAGCAAAGCGCAGCAAAGCAAATCTGGACACTTTGCCAAAGGAAGAACAAGACCAAGTACAGTCAAAGTAACCAGTTTTGCGGTTGAAGTGGTCAGAGCAGAACACGGTAGGACTGGCGTACCAACGCTGTCACCAAACTGATCAGATGAACTGCTGTAAAAGAGCCAAGACGAGCTAATCATAAATGAAATGGCTTGAAAAAGATGCAAGAACTGCAGAGAACGAAGACAAGAGTTTTGGCTGGAGCTGCAAGGTGAAGTTGAGGAGGCCATGCAAATAGTTGTACAAGATGCAATAGAGAATGACCATGAGAACAGTGGCCAGGACTCTGGAATACAAATACAACGGTAACATATGCAGTGAAAGAAGGTACACGTTTGACAGAGAGAGGGGCAAAAAAGCCAGAAAGTGCTTGGATCACTAAGCATTATCAGGTCAAGATTCCATGCGTTATCTTCAAATTTTGGTCTGGTTATTTTACATTGGGGGCAGAAAAGACAGAGAAGTAGGGAGAGAGGCCACCTTCCTGCCAGGAGATTTGTTAAATTCCTCAGGACTAACTAGTATTGAAATTGAGCTGCCAACAACATCATACAGTTAAACTCTTGGGAGGCTGACAATGATACTCTTACACCTGAGCTCTGCCTTAAAACATAAACACACACAGTTTTTAGGATGGTATCTAATTAGCTATGAGCAT